ATTCTGGACTGTTGGGCGGAGGTTTATCTTCAGCAGGAACAAGGAGACTTTATCTCCCACTCACATACTAGGCAAAGAGCAGATTGAATTTAAGAAGACATCTATCTACGTGTGTATTTCCCTTCTGCGTCCTCACATGTTTTAATTGCTGGCTCCACTGTTTGTTGGGAATGTGGGTAAGAAAATAAGGCAAGTCGTTCGAAGACAGCCCCTCCCCACGCTGCGCCTTCTGCCCTCTCGCCTTTGCTTTGCTTCTTCGTAGAATTTATCAACATAGTGTGTGCACGCGTGTGCTCTGTCTCTCCCACTGGGACGCTCGTTCTATCACAACAGGAACGTGTCTGTTTCCTTCTTGACTGCATTTCCAGTACCACAAGGAGTGTTGGGAAAAGACGCGGGACTCCAGAAGCGTTTGTTGAATGAATAGATGAACAAACAAAGAGGCAGGGGTGGGTTTACTCACCTGGTGTTAGCCACTGCCTGCATCAGTGCTTTATGGCCAAGGCTTATGTTTTTGCGTGGTGGGGGCAGGGTCACTTGCTGCAAAGCTTGTAACAGCTGGTGCCCGTGCTTGTCACACCAGCAAGGTTCCTAGCTGCTGTGCGGTCCCTCCTGTGCTCTGTCTACCGAGCACGTGTCTGCCCTGAGCGAGTGCCTGTAGGAGGACCGGCCGTGTGGACCCTTCCATGCACCGAGAGTCAGGAGGAAAACCAGGCACTTGCAAAGACTAAAGATTATGTGCAGAGAGCATTTAGCTCCACGATGGCTTTTAAAAAGTCATCGAACATCTGTCTGTGCTGGCAGATAAAGCCCACATGCCAGGTTTAATGGGACGAGACAGGTGGACTCATCTATGCCAAGGAGGAAACAGGCTCCCAACACAAGCAGCCAGCCTCATGGATGGGAGGATGAGAGTATTTCATGGGCTTGATTGACAGGTGACAACCAGGTTCAGAGTTGAGTATGTCCGGGAGCCAATGTACGGTTGCACCACAGCCACGGTGCTGAGCGAGTATCCTCCCATTTTTTTTTTTTTTTGCTGTATCTCTTTGCTCAAGATTGAACTCCAGAGAGAGCTCTCAGTTGCACTGGAGTAGGTCACATGTCCACCTCCTTCCGAGGAGGGGCAGGGGAAGCTCTTGACGTACGAGTCCATCACAGTGGTACACAGTGGCGGAAGGGTGGGTCACACAAGCAAAATCGGGGCGCTGTCACCCAGGGTAGGATAAGGGGAGTAAAAACAATTGTGTGCCACAGTTCTGAGCCAGCGTTACTATTCATAGCTGTTTCAATTATATTACTGGGTACTGTGCTTGGAAGATTGTATGTGTTTGTGTATGTTGTATATATAATGTGCATAATATGCATGTTGTGTATTATATGTACATATATGTATATATAATTATAGATATATACTATATATTTTACTATGTGTATGCACACCTCTCTCTACATACAGCTGTTATGTTTTAACAATTCAATATACCCTTAGCCTAAGAAGGCTTTGTTTGTACTAACCCGCGGTGCGTGCATATACTACAGGGAAAATTATGGCTTTTCCCCTATCGCCATGGTAGATATATTATTAAGTATAAATCTACAGGAAAGTATCTTCAGAAATCAAGTGCTGTGTTTATCTCTGCGTAATGAGGCTGTCAGTGTAACCTGTATTTATTGAGCCACAAGTAGGTTGTAAAACTTCCATTAATGAATGGAAGTAACTCCATCGTCATAAACAAAGGAAGAAATTAGCATTGGGTTGAGACCCAGTGGAGCTGAGATGCCTGTGTGCTAGGGACTGCCTTAATGGTCTCAAAACGCTGCCACTTACAGCTCTGAGATAGGTGTTTCAAAATTATTAGCCCCGCACAAACCGTGTTCAGTACGTACCACGTGTATGTCTCCAAGGAATAACCACCCAGTTTCTTGCATACATTCGTGCTTGATACTCAAGAGCATCCTTGTGTGGTGTGTAAGCATCACCCCCCAACTTCAGAACACCAGAGACGTGCCCTAGAAACGTGTCTCCTCTTATGAAAACGTTCTGTGTCTATGAAAGACAATTCCCAGTGTCCTCTACCAAATTCCAGCAATTGTTTTTTCTTAGAAATAATGCTATAAATTACAGCTTCATATAGCTATAGTAGAATTGTTAGCACCGGATGTTGGATACTTCATGGATTAAATAAGCAACTGTGGTGTCCTTTTTTAAGAACTTGAAAATAAATCCTTGAGGGAAACATCATATGAATTCCAAATCTCACCTACTTATAAATAAAATTTCAGAAAAACATAAGCCCACTGTGTATTAGAAAAGGCCTATGCACCGATATCTCCTGTATAACAAGAAGGTTGTCAGAGCCAGGTTGATGACCTATTTATTTAAAGCAAAGTTGATTCAATAAAATTCTAGTGCACAGTAATTGGGACAGCTGTTAGGATTTGTCTTAATAGAATAGCAGCTGTCCACAGAGGATTGTACTGTCTTTCACCACTGCATCTGCTTGCCTGCAATCTCACTGAGCTTCTGCAAGGCAGGAATGCTAACAGCCTGAGTGTGTCACCTGCATGTCCAGAGGGCCAGGTGGCTTTTTGGCCTATGCGTGCCATTCCCAATGTATAAATGACCACGTTCAAAATGTTTGCATGGTGATTGTTTAAGATGCAAAACATGTTATTTTTTTCCATAGAAATAACGTCATACATGATTATCACTTTCTAAAAATGCTAAATTTTGCACTTAAGGCCACGCCTCAAAAGCAATCCCTTCTCTCTTTGCAGACTAGTCAAGTTGGCATGTGTGCTGGGTGTTCGCGAGTCCACCCTCAGATTGGCGAGTTGCTGGGCAAACTCAAGGTCATGATCACTGCTAAGATGAAAGCATGGCCAGCAAAGGAAAAGGGTGTGTGTGTGGGGGTGGGGACCAGGCACAAGATCCCAAGAGTCTCCCAGTGGAGTCACACACACTGAATTCCTCCAGCAAATAGTCGGGACAACGCTCGTGCTTTCTACTAGGAATGCTCACCTAAGCCTGGGAGTGCAGGGATTTTCCTGGGGACTGGTCAGGTGGGCCCCCTCTGCCTAGCAGGTACCCAAACTCTGGACTCCCAGAAGGAGAGCCGGTGTTCAGTGTAAACCACGGGGTTTGCGCAGTTCAGGTACCGTGAGCCCCTTTTAGCATGGGACGGGGAGAACCCTCCCCAAACCCAAGTAGGGACAGGTGTCTCCTGCTTTTCCTCCAAGCCCTGGCCCTGGGAGTGCCATCGTCCCCTCCTTGTTGCTAACGGTGGCAGGTGGTCTCACGCTCTCCTCTGATTATATTAACAGGATTTTAGAGCATGGACTCTGGAGCCATTGCCTTGTCTGTATGTCTGTGCGGGCACAACGATTGCAAACCTGGGTCGTGCAGCCCCAGCTGGACACCCCTCGAGTCATCATCTGGCCAAACACCATCAAAGTGCTCCAAGAGCCCCTTGGTTCTTTGGCTTTAAAACCTTTTTTATTTTCCCTGCAGGAACTAAGAAGAGAAAATGCAACAAGAAACATACATTCAAACATCTAGGCTAGTTTGTAAATGGAACTGTGTGCAATTTAAAATCCTGTCCTCTTACCATGTATTCCCCATTCCATGTGTGTTTTTGAAGTTTCTTAGAGAAAAATGAGGACACACATAGTAGTAACATTCATCTGGTGTCGATGAGGGGAGGAGGGGGTGGGTATATTCACACCTAACAGGGGGTTGTGCACTGTCTGGGGGGTGGACACGCTTGTAGCTCTGATTTGGGCGGGGCAAAGCCAACTTATGTAGCCTAGACAATTGTACCCCTGTAATATGCTGAAATTAAGTACACGTGTGAGGATACACGAGAGAACCAGTCCTGCCACGCTTCCTCCTTCCTCACACGTCCAGCTTTTCTTAAGGAACAAAGTCACTGGTGTCTTGGAGAAAAACCTTTGGGCATATCATTTATCCCTCCCACGAATAAAAGGAGGAAGGAATAAATGAAGGGGACGCAGGAATAAGAGATGAAGCCCGTGATGGGCAGCACGCTTGCTTTGTCAATGAGTTTTTGCGACAGTCTGAGCAGGTGTGAGATAACGTGGCCGGCGCTGGCCGGCGCTGAGTAACGAGGATGTGGACAGGGCCAGATCGAGCAGCCTCAGCACCGCAGAGGCTGATAGGACACAAGGAGGCACCGAGCACCTCCCGCCCATGTCGTGGCCGGGAGCCAGTTCAAATCTGCTCAGTGAAAATGTAGGTGGTACTGACCTCATAGGGCATTTGTCAGAATTGAAGGAGATAAAATCATAATAAATCTGGAAGAGTGTCTGATTCATGGTAAGTCATTAATAGGTAGTAGCGGTGGTGATGATGGAGATGACAGCGATGGCCATGACAGCGTGACGATGATGGTGATGATGATGGTGATGATGATGATGATGTAGCAGAAAGAGCACAAACGTGGAAGTCAGGCCTGTTAAAATCTCAGCGCCTCCCTTCGCCTGGGGGCGTCGTCATTCTCTAACCCGTCTGGGACGCAGCTCCCTCACCTGGAGCTTAGGATGTCGCTAGAAAGCTAGACGTTGGAGGTAGGATGTCCAGCACTGCCTGGCACATGGGAGGTGGTCCATGAACGTCCCCTCTTACTGTACATTTTACTTTTGTACTTTTAATTCATTTCCTTTTTCTACTTAGTTATACCACCGTGAGGGTTTTCAGGGAGTTTTTTGTTTCGATTCGGTTCTGCCTGAAGGTGTTATGTAAGCCAGTACGCCGGCACTAATGCTGGCTTGCTGTCACTACTCCTTTATTTAAAGGCAGTAATGACTCAAAAGAAATCAGGGCAGATGGATTGGAAGGTGATTGCAAATTTCTGTCCAAATCCTGTCGTACCTGAGCTAATACCTGCAAGGCCACCGTGTGCAGGTAAATTCCCCGTGTTCCCAGAACCGGCAGAGAGTCCCAGAGCTGACTCAGACCACATTTCTGTCTCCACCAGGGCCAAGGTGAAGAAAGGCGTCAGCATCGTTGGCGTGCGAGCCAGCAGCCCTTCCGTCTGGGATGTCAGGGGGAGCACGGACTACGCCGGCAAGTATGCACCAGCTGTCATCGTTTGCCAGAAGAAATCGGCTGGCTCGGAAAACAGGTGAGTCCCAACCGGCCTTGATATATTCGGATCAGCTGCAAGTGTGGCCCTGTTTTTTTGCCTCAATTTGCTCACAGCTGTTTCCACTGAGGTTTGCACTTGCTGTCTGTGTTAACAGAGCCTCCAGGTAAGGAGGATGGAATCCTTCATTTGGGAAAGGTGGATTGTTATTCACAGTGGACCCACTTAAAACCACAGCACACCTCTGTGCCTGTCACCTGCAAGGCCCGCTCCACGCAGGTGGGGTTTATCCACGGAGGAGGTTCTGCTTCACCGCGACCTCTTTTCTAATCTACGTCGTTAGGCGAACCGGAAGTCTGGCGCGCTCATGCAAAATGGCCCATTTCGCAAGCGTCGAAAACAAGAGCACCGAGGTCTCTCTGCGCACAGGCGTGTGTTGTACGTGTGCCGTGTAGATTTGAATACAATGCATGTGCTGGTATCGGTGAGCAGGCATTTTCTAAGACAGTACAGTGAACTCTCTGCTGTGAAAGTGGGAGGAATTGTGAATCACTCTAGGGAGAAATTAAAACCCGAATCTGTCTCTGATATCCACCAAATTAGAAGCAATCAGTTCACAGCTGGGCAGAGAGAGACTCAGAAACTCAGTGGTTCTTGTTTTATTACGCGTTCCCGAAATCTCGTTTGCGGCTCTGGAGAATTCCTAGTCTGGTCACGTATTTTTTGTCACTCTTAGGTTGCTTTTTTGCTCTTTAGGTGACTGACCATTTGAGCAATAATTGAAGGACAAACTCAGGTACGTAACACGTTATTTCTGGAGTGCATCTTCCAACTTCGTACCTCAGTGTTTGGAAAATCTGCTCATTTCCTGTTAGTTACTCTAATACAGAGGTCGTGGATCTCAGCTGATAACTACTACAATTTCGTGTCTGGTTTGTTACCGAGGAGCATTTGAAGTTGACGTGGAGATGTGATTTGAGTTCTTGCCTGTGCTCAGCATTGGTGTTTGAGAATTTTGGTTTTTAGCACCTCTGGTCTGCGTCGTTCCTGCTCTTCCTTTTGTGATTGTGTGACCGGTGTTTGAAGATTTCTTTCTTGAAGATTTGCTCACAGGAAAAAATGAAAGGAAAAGGGAGAACATCTGTGTCTGAGTCCTGCTCTCAATGATTGGGCAGTGACAGTGTGCCACGCTGATTAACCTGATGAACTTGTAGCTTTGCACGTGGTCACCTATGTCTGTGCCAGTGACGTAATTTGGGAAATAAGGTGCTACCTCAGTAGAAGGTTTCCTTTGTGTGTTACAGCTGGCAGAAATGAGGACAGGTGGACATGTGGATGGGCAGATGGACGGATGAATGGGCGTGTCGATGGAGAAAAAGGTGGACCCATAGACATGTTCATTCTTTACCAGAAGAGAGTAAATTTGGGTGGCGGAATCTCAACCCATGCATTTTTATTTTCTCGTGTGCTTTTCTAATTTTGTGGATTAGTGGTAGTCGTCGCTGTAGTGTTGTCTATGAAATGCGGAGGGATCTGAACCATTATAAAACATTTTTTAATTCTGAATTATGACTAAGAATTAGTTCAGTTCATCCTGTGCACGGGGAGGACATATGGGCCCGGCCAAGGGTAGCTCCTTCCTACCAAAGTATAAACTGTCTTTTTATGGATCCAGGGGCTTCCAGAAACTTGGCACATTCCGAGTGTATGCAAACACGTAAATGCGTGATGCTCGGAATTTATTTTTCTTTCATTTGTGTTGGTATCTTCTTTAAGAAGGTACCCTGAGTAGAATATCAAGCTACTCCTTTGCAAGTCCTGATGTCATATTGCCGGTCTCTATGGAGAATATTCTAATCTCTTTGCACATTCTGATTCCAGCTTTCTGTTTGCTACTGTGGGTCCAGTTGATGGAAAAAAGCTTACACACACACGTGTGTGTGTATGTAACATGTATTTCTGCATGCACATATGGTATATGTGCATATAGAACATACATGGGATCTTGGTACGCAAATGCATGCCATACATTTTATAAGTGCTTTAGATACATACACATGTTGATGTAGAGACTTTACACTACAGCTAGGAAGGCTTTTCTGAATGAGGAAACTCTGCAATGGAACCTCTTTCAGTTTGGGAATCGGGTCTTGTCTGCAGCTATGTTCCCAGCCTTAGAGAAACATCTGGTGCACAGTGGACTCTGTGTAAATACTTGTTTAATGAAGTTCTAGAATTAGACCCTGTCTTAATTACTATACATATTATGATACTAATCTATACGTACGTACATTGAAGGTTTTCCAATATACCTGTTCAAAAAGTACAAGGCATAACTGCGTGTGTAATGAAACTCCATTTGGGGAAAACGAGAGAAAGGTACTTTCACGAGCAGATGCTGTCCCAGGAAGGCTGCACAGGAGACCGGCAGCTGCGATTTCTGCCGGGGAAAGATGGGAAGCTGGGGGAGAAGGCTGAAGGTGAATTACTTTTCGCAGTGAACCATCTGGACTTTTTTTTTTTTTAACCATATGCATGTATTGCCTATTTAATAAGTATACAGTTAAAATAGTTTATGAATATGGTAAATTCATTAATCAACTTTTATCCTCACTTTAAAACTTTCCATTTTACTTCGCCTTTAGGAAATTAAATGAAGAAAAATCACACGCCATCATTTCAGATAGCAATGGACTGGGATGAGGTCTGCTCTTCTCCAGGATGATTGGAGAACGTAGTACAGAGGAGACGCTTTAATAACGTCAGTAGGTTTTGCTTCAGAAGCTGTTCTGCTTTATACATTCCTCATACTCTCAGAATGTTTTTCCATTGATTCTTCAAAGGTAGAATCTGTTGATCGTGATGCAAAAGAGGCAGGCTTCATTAGCTTGTGAGTTACAGATTTTGTATTGCTGATAATTTACCACAGATCAGGAAGTTGTGTTAATGAAGTTAAGTCACTGTGACAGGTGTGATTTTATGGATGAAGGAGACACTTTTGTGCTTATGATAACTCAGCAGGAATGAGTGAAGATCTCTTATCGGAGTTGAAATGCATCCTTCCTTGTTGGAAGGAGTTTGGTTGCTGAGAATCTAATAACAGTATTAACACACAGATGTCATCACAGCTATCAGATCTGTTCTGAGTAAGCATTGCCAGTGAGTGTTACCAAACAGAAGCAGAATAAGTATGCTGTCCATCAACTTCCATTTTGCGTTTTGACAATCTTGCTCACCGTAGACCTATGTCGACGTAGATAAGTATGGAAAAAAAGCCATGCATTTTCATTTCCCTGCAGCTCTCTGCATAGAGGTTTCCCAGAGCTTACCACAGTTGATGTGTAGATGGTTTTAGGTGGTACACAGACATGAGATTAAATAAACCCAAATGACACAAACTTACATTTAGTTCAGTTCTCCAGCAGGACTTCTCATTGAAGATAGTCCACCTCTTTAGGGGGCTGGTATGCCTTTGAAGCCTCTATCCCTTGCTCATAGATTGTAGACAGGCAGAAGACATAGCTAGAATTTAATCTTTTTCATAACTATCATCTGTTCATTCCATGCCATACTGGTTGCACATTTATTATAGGTAACATGTTTTATTTTAAAACAAGCAAGTTGTAAGTAATAACATGAGCTGCCAATAAGTAAAGGTAATTGATATTTCAAATGTAGACAGATGTGATTAAAATCTTGAAAGTATTCTGAAAATTAGGATAGGGATAGCATCGATAAACACACTTCAATCTATTTGTTAGCCTTAGGTGTGATTGTTTAATTGTTTTGAAAAGCAAATATTTTTAAGAATATCTTAAGATAGAAGTTTATTGTCTCTCACATGAAAGAAACCATGAAGTCAGCTGGCAGGACAGCTCTCTAGTGCCATGAGGGTCCAAGGCATCTGTCTTTGTTCAACACCATACTAATGCATGGCTTGCATCCTCATAGACTCAGATGGCTGCAAGAGTGCCAGTCATTTCAACAGCATTGCAGGCAAAAGAAAAGTGACAGAAAAGGGTCATCTTGGCTCGGTCAACTCTTCTTAAGCAACCTTCCAGGCAAATCCTGCCAATCTGAATTCTCTCTTTTGCACCTCATTGATAAGAACTTAATCACATGGCTACACTAGACTTCAAAGGAAAGCAGGGAACATTTATTATAGGCAGTGAGTCCAGTTCAGAATCAGTGTTCTGCTCTAAAGACAGAAGAGCAGCCCAGATGGGGGCTGGGCAACCAGCAACTTCTCATGAGCAATTTATGAAGAATAAATGTGTAGGATTTCCAATAGGATGATAAAAATATCATATTACCTGTCTCCTTCACTCTACCAGGTTCCCCTCGAAATTTTCAGTAAAATAGGGTGGGAAAACTCATATTAGTATTGTACTGGAAAAGTTATTGTGCATATGTTGGAAACTTAAATGTTTGTTGAAGTGCAGAGGTTGAAGGCAGATACAAAGAGAGCCACTCTCAGGTGTGCCTTTTGTAAAAAGGAAGGATTCCTGGACTCTGGAGATCTAGACATAAAAAAATCAGTACCATCTCCTAATATAGACAGTAGGTTGTGCCACAGGCAGGTATGAATATGTCAAAGCCAACAAGGTGACCTGTCTGGACAGGTAACTATTATAGGCTAAATCACTGGGTAAGAGGAAGACTTCTTGCTGTAGGCTACCCAAACAGAAAGAAAACTCACAGACATATGAAAATATCACTGCAAGAAAGAATCTTGGGAAAAAACCTTAAAACAATCAAAGACAGAATTCCCTGCATGAGAGAGAGATGGTTTTAGAGCCTTACTAATATTCTCTGCTTCAAAATAAGCAATTATATCATACAAGATAGACAGAGGCAGCAAGGAGAAGATGCTGTCATAGTAAGAACGGTGTTCAGAAATTGAAAAACACCGTGGCCGTTAGGTTCACTGCTATAGAAAATAACATCGGCGAAGTTGAATGAAAACTGTAGGAGGAAGAGAAACTTCAGAAAAGAGAATGAGAAAGAAGTGAAGATAAAAAGAGGAAAACCAATGAAAC